CTATCATGTCTTTGGGAAAAATATTCGGTATTATTAATAAAACTCATGGAGCGCTCTAAACTATAAAAGGGTGATAATGATTTTGAAATTTATTTCTTTTTGTTTTTTTTTATTTTTTTTTATATTCATTTGTTTAATGGGGAAAATGGGATTATAATCGAAGTAAGTACTTAGTCAATAAATTTAATAAAAATAATTGCTGTGTGGTCTCCGCATAGAAATGGGCCTTCCTTCTTTTCCCGTGGGTGTCGTAAGAGGCGACTAAGGGAACTGAATGTTCGAGAGATGGGCAGCAGCGTTCCTCTTAAAACATCCCCAAAACCGGTAACAGCGTTTGCCAACCAGCCTGCCAATAATGGCAACTACTGGCAAAACTCCCTTTACAAGGGGCAGGGCCATGTTCAGCGGTGGACAGTTTAATATAATAATAAATTAAAACCCATTTGGTGGTTTACGCAGAAATAATCCAACGGTTAGTCAGTTTAGACGTGCCGGGCTCTGTCTTAATCTGCATTTAAATTATGAATTTAAATAAAAGTGCTAGTAAAATTAAAAGGAGAATGGAAAAACTGGGCACGAGAATAAAAAAAAAAGTTGACGGAGCGCAGTGCAAATCTTCTTTATGGGATGCGGAGTTGGAGTGGGACAACACCAAAGTCGAGAGGCGATTCCATTTTTAAATTAAAAGCTTCAGACAGAGCATTCATTTCATATCGATTTTTTTTACTGTCAGAGAGGCATACGAGCAGACGGTTTACTTGATGGAAAGTGCCTACCGTCGCTCATAAACACCTGCAACACGAGAGGAGTTGCTTGTACGTTGCTGGCCTTTGACAAGTTACGCATAATCTGTGTCATCTTTCAAGCGACTTTAAAAAGAAAAAGTTTCTGAATTTGGTTGTATTATTTTTATGTTTCTTAACATAACTCGGTCAGTTCCAAACCACGCATAATGTACGCATAATGAAATAGCAAAAGGTAGAATGACGTTATTGAGCAAACGAACAAATAAAAAAGGTACCTCCTTATTCGCGAGGTGTAATAGTGACATAGCTACTTAATTTGGATGGGTAATGTAAACGTGATGCTTTTGATATGTCAAACAAGTTGAGTCATCCAAAAATTAAAGCACACGCAGAGTAAGAAATAATACTTCCAATCTTGCTTACTCTTTCGTGTTTTGCTTATAATGGGGGTCTCGTTTCAACTATAAAATTATTGTAATTGCGTGTTATATCAATTAGAATCACAGGTACTATCCTAAATCTATGCTTTGAATGGAATGGGATGGGACGGATGGGCCGGAATGGGACGAAATAGGACGGAATAGGACATAATGGGATGGAATGGGGTGTAATGGAATGAAATAGGATACAATGGGAAGGGATGGAATAGAAAATATTTATTACTGTCATGTTATAATGAATGAAAACTTAGTTCAATAAACCATAACACTTACATATACTTAGATTAGAAGTAATAACAACATAAAAATAAATAAAGAAATAAAATACAGAAAAAAAGTTTACATTTATATATAAAGAGTAGTAGAAATCAGAAAGTGTTATGGTAATGAAAAAGGATGTCAATTCAGCTAAAGTTTCTGCAAAAGCAGAAACGCTGATTTTCAATTAGCACCTCGTCACCTAGCCCGGTCCGTCAAGATCATGAACGAGTAACATAATACACAAACATGTGCATATTTTTTGACGTATCAAAGGCATTTGATTCTGTTTCACATGACCTTTTATTAAAAAAATTAGAAAATAATGGAGTTAGGGGGCCAGCTCTTCAGTGGATAAAATCTTACTTATCGCACAGGCAACAACGTGTTGTATGTAATAAAATAGACAAAAATAATAATATGACATCGTACTCATCTGAATATAGATTTAATAAATATGGAGTACCGCAAGGAAGTGTGTTAGGCCCAATATTATTTTTATTTTATATAAATGACATTACAAATATATTTGACCATAAATGTATCTTATTTGCAGACGATATTTCTATCATTGTGATTACTGATAGGAAAAATAATACTATTATGAATCATGAGAATCAAATTAACAATACAATTGACAAAATAATAAAATGGACAAGTCTTAATAATTTACGAATTAATTTTAATAAATCTAAATATATGCAATTCAATAAATCTATTAATAATACGAGTTTGAAATTAAAAGTTGCGAACATCGAAGAAGTGCTGCAAACAAAATTTTTAGGAATCAACATAGACCAAAATTTAGATTGGAAGTCTCATATCGCATACATTTCTAAAAGGATTAATACTTTCGTATACGCTCTTAAACGACTTAAAAACGTAACAAATATTAAAACAGCAATCACAACGTATAATGCATATATACAATCAATACTACGATATGGACTCATAATGTGGGGCAATAGTACGGAAAAAGATAGAGCATTTCTTGCCCAAAAAAAATGTATTAGAGCATTGTATGGTCTTTCACCTCGCGAATCGTGTAAGCCGGTATTTAGGAAGCTTGGTTTGTTACCACTACCGTCTCTATATATTTATGAAATTAGTATGTTTGTACACAGCAATAAATATTTGTTTAAGAAAGCTACTGATATATATCCACGGAATCGACGTAATCCAAATAGACTCGTGCTGGATGACATTCCTCGTCTAGCTAAATATGAAAAAAGTTGTTTAGCTATGTGTGTAAAAGTATATAATAAAATACCGACTGAATTAAAATTGTTAAATGTGAATTTATTTAAAAAGAGATTGTATACTTGGCTGAATATAAATAGTTTTTATGATGTAAAAGACTTTTTAAACAAAAAACAAAATGTTAATCGTTAACCTTAAATGTATTTTTGCATGCTATCACCTTGTTAGCTAAGCACGAATGTTCTTTGACAAATGTAACATCTTTAACTTTACCGTGTTTAAGCAAATAAAGATTATTATTATTATATTATTATTATTATATTATTAACAATAGGTAAAAAACAAAAATATCAGTAAACAAAGAAAAACAAGATCAAATAAGTTTTCGAAAACAAGAACAAAAAAGTTTTTGACCCTATGTGTAGAATAAAACAAGTATCCAAGCCTTGACAATAGTTGTACGAGAATTCACAAATTACATTATTTCTAAATAATCCATTCTTATAAGACATAAAGAATAAAAATTTATAAGGGATAAAAATTTAAAACTCAAATAATGCATATATATATATATATATATATATATATATATATATATATATATATATATATATATATATATATATATATATATATATATATGATAAAAGGAAAGAAAAGTCATCAGTTGGGCTCATAACTTTGAATAGTGTAAAGCTGTGAGAAGCCGGGTCGGGTCATCTATTAATAACACGGATTAACGACAGTGTCTGCGGATTAATAACGTACTTATTACACGACAGACATGATTATGATTATGATATGATATGATTATATATAATTATTTATTTCACAATTGCAATAAATAATTATGTATTATAACCGGGTATCTTTTATATTATTACGTGCTGGTATAATAACAGGAAGTAATAAAGATGTGGACCGTTTGACTACAGGCTCGACGGCGGATATATGTTGTATATCTCACGAAAAATATAAATGTGAAACGAGAGCCAAGTCCAATATTACGAATACGTGTCGTTTTGACTTTTGCTGAAAAAAGAATTGAGATACGGGTGCCAAGTTCTGTGTAGAAAATCTTAAAATTTATAAGTTACAATCACATGTAATATGATAAAATTAAATTTTATAACAATTATTTATGGTATTGACACTACTATCACGTTTGTTACTTAATATTATAAATTCATATTTAACAGACTATTATTTACACAATGCATATATTTCATTTGGGATGTAACTCAAACTCAAATTTTGACTTGGCTAGTTTTTACCAATAAACCAAATGTTAGAGAAGCAACGTAGATATCATAACAAAAGTATGAGTACAGTACATCTTGTACACTGTTTTGCGTATGATTTAATGCAGATGAGTTGATTAGACGAATCTAATAAAGCCTGTACATAAAAACTAGGCAAGCCAAGTCTCGAGCTAGCTATATATATTGCCAATAGTTGTCACACTTGGCAGGCGGATTGGCAACTGCAGTCAGGCTTTAGAAATGTTTTAAGAGGGACGCTGCTGCCCATCCTTCCCCCTCTCTTACGTCCACGGGAATAGAAGTGGTGGCCTATTCTATGCCGGGACCACACGGCCAATATATATATATATATATGTCAGAACATCGCAGAATATGCTGTAACGCACATGCTTAGTAATCTTTTACCATTTATGAAAACTGTGGCGTGGGTTACTTTCGTAAAACGCATTTGAAATATGGTTGTTTCTCTTAATTCGCCATTGTAAACTATATATTTACTGATATAATAATTTTAGACTGAATTCCATTAAAAAAAACCGACTTCATTTGTTTACATAATAAAACTTTTGTTACTTTTAAATTAATTTTTTTATGCAACTTAGTATGGCAAACAAGCTGACGGCCCACCTAATGGAAAATGGTAACCATCGCCTATAGACATGAGCAGTACCATGGACGTGACAGAGTATACTGTTTCGCCCATGATACCCCCCATACGTTGCAATTCCTGAAGACTCAGATGTTATTCTTCTGTAACGTGTAAATCCACTGCCATCTCATCCCATCAAACCCATCCCGAAACGATATCCCATCCTTAAAACCTTAATTTTTAAATAAAAATAATAAAATTAATTAAGTACCTTCTTGTTTTCGAAGTTGGTTGATTAGCATTTGATACATTTTTAGTATATATTAGTATTTACTATACAAATGTACTTCCGTCCATTTATTATGCATATATGATCTTTATCTATATAAAAATACAGGATATATCTAGTTAAATGGGAAAGTTTAATGCGAATAGTGTAATTATAAAATAAAACTAAATGTTTTTATTTAACGTACCTACAATCAGTGTACTCGCATCATTCCAATATGATCCGTGGTGTCCATTGGTTTGTTATAATTCTTGGAATATTTCTTATTTCCATACAAGATACAGAAGAATCAAAAAGAAAGGTATATCAGATATATGTTATAGATTATTATTTATGTACGGTTATTTAAAATTTAATTAACAAATTTAACCCTTAAATACCTGAAGTTTAGAATTTGATACCGGAGTTATAAATCGCATTGGACGCCTACAATCGATTTTATTTTAATATTTGGCTGTTTACATGTTACCAAATATTTTTTCTGAATAAATATATGAAAATATCGTTTTGATTTTTTTTACTAATTTTCCCCATTAGTAAATACAGTAAAGGGTACACTTATATATTTTTTAATTTGACTTTAAAAAATCAGGCCTTTAAGGGTTAATGCACTCACCCCCATGAACTTGTCGTGTGGTCACCTCTTTTTTTTCCAGTGGGCGTCGTAAGTGGCGATTAAGGGATTAACTTAATAATCGAAAGACGGTCAGTAGCATTCCTCTTAAAATCTTAAAATATCACCGAAGTCCAACTGCGGTTGCTATTATTGGTAAAGCCCTCCCCTTCTCCCTTATGGGGGAGACTATTATCCAGCAGTGAACAGTTAACGGCTGATAAGATGATGATGAACTCCTATAAACGCTCCTATTAGATCCAATGTAATACCCCGGGATTACAGCGGATCTGACCACAAGATATGAGGGGTGAAAGGAATTTTTAGTAATATGATCTACCAGCCCCATACTATAAAAATGCCCTGTCAGGTCGAATATACAGAAGTTTCTGATACTGGAATTCTCTGGAGAATGCTTTGAATTCTGTCATTCTTCTATCTATCTATTATACCATCATTTCGGCTTGTATGCCTATCTACGTCTGTATCTATATAGGTATGTGCGATTCTTCGTTTTTTGCATTGGGGCCAAACATTTTGGTCCTTTTCATTGTAAAGTTTATGCCATAAGTCACTACGCAGACTAAGCGAGTTGGCGAATGGATGTTTTGGAAGAAATTTTGTGTGGATTTTAAAGGACTTTTGGGCAACAGTTAGATTGTCACTATGTGGGAGGATGTGAGATACGGTAGAACCAGCTGTGGTCTCTGGGAGCACGTATTCATCGGGAAGACAAACCCACTGAAGAAGGATTTGGAACCTATTGCTCTTATTGAAATGACTCATATGATTTTTTCTCAACATCTCAATTTACAGATATCGTCCAATTACATTTTTGCATAGCTGTGTTTCGATTTGAAGGGTGGACATATGGCAGTGAATTTACAAGGTACAGAGGAATAACACCTGAGTCCTCAGAAATAGCAACGCATGGGGGGTATCATGGGCGAAACAGTATACTCTGTTATGGCCATGGTACTGCTCATGTCTATAGGTGATGGTTACCATTTTCCACCATGTGTATGAAGTATGAAGGAGGCCTGCAATTCATAAAGATTAAACGGAGTGTAATTTCTTTTTCAGAGTATACAATATTTCAGTACAGAGCACCCCTGTATTGTGTACCGCGACCCAATGGTTTCTGGGTTTGTAAATATCACCTCACGACGTCACAGCCGCAAGGACCCCTTCTACTATGTTGATTTTCATATAAATTTGCTCGTGTCAATTGGCAACAATGTCACAGTAAGGTTTCTTTATAAAAAGATAAATAAATAGACACGCTCGCCTGTGTCCGTTGGTGTTATGATGAGAATAACTCTTGAGATGCCCCCATTTAGCCAAGTATTTTTTTTTACCATTGTGATGGCAAACAAGCGAACGGTCCATTTGGCGGTCAGCGGTTACCATAGCCTATGAACGCCTGCAATACCAGGGACATTACGCGCGCGTTGCCGTCCTTAAAGAAAACTCTTTATCCCTTTTTTAAGGAACCCCATGCTTTATTCTCTTGGAAAAAATTCGATAGGGAGCTCATTACATAACCTGAGCGTTCGTGGGAGAAAACATCTCTGAAACCGCGTTGTACGCGACCATTTAGGTTCTAAGGTATAATAAAGGTGAACTCCTTGTCGTTGGCGAGCCGTACGATGAGCATATTAGAATCTTATTTGACAGCTGGCAACGTAGCAAGTGTGTGTGGACAATTAATTAATTTTACGTATAAATTTCCTTATCTGTGTTATATTATAAAAATGTTAAATATTGAAAAAAAAAAACAATTTTTTTTGTATATTTTATTTCATAATCATCATCGTTATATTAGCCCTTAACCGTCTACTGCTGAACATAAGCCTCCCTTTTGGGTGCGTTTGCCAGTAGTTGCCACGCTTGGCAGGCGGATTGGCAACCGCAGTCAGGCTTTAGAGATGTTTTAAGAGGGACGCTGCTGTCCATCCCTCGCTGTCCTTTAGTTGACCATTACGACACGTATGGGAAAGGAAGGGGTGGTCTGTTCTATGCCGGGATGACGATGATGTACCATGTAGTATAAAACTAAATATTTGTTGTCTAAACTCACATTTTTTTGAAATGGATAAACTCAAAAATTACTCAGCTGATTTTAAAATTCTTACACCTATTAAAATGAAAATTATTAGCGTGTAACGAGGACTGTATTAAATTTTCAAAAAATTCATGCAAAGACGGGGCGAGTCGCTAGTTGCTTCTAATTTGTTTGCAGATAAGCTTTTATTTCTTCGAGTTCCTCACCAATCAGTATAAACGCGGTTTCATTGAGATGCACATGGGCCTCTGTGATCTAATATTCAAGGATAAATTTTTCGGCACTGCTTTAAAAAGGCATTTAAATTCGACAATACTAGAACATTGTCCTTTGCCTAAGGTTAGTTAATTCAATCAAGCAATCATCTTTATTCATATACATCTGTTACAGATTCTTATGATACGACAATTTATAATTATAATAATTACTATATGAAATTATGGGCAAATGTGAAATTTTTATAGGATCCCCTTCTTTCTGAGACCTAACGTGCTATGCCTCTGTACCCTGTAACTTCATTATTATATTCCATGCTTCAAACCGAAATACAATTGCCTTTTTATAGAAATGGAAGGAAAAACAAGATGGTGGGAAGTAGTCGTTGTCGTTTTTAGACATGAATAATATATATATATATATATCATAGAGGTGAGGTACGTGGTACCCTTCATGCGTTGCCATTCTTGAGGAATTGACTAAAGTAGGGGGAGAGCTGTAGTATAGAAGCTATAGTAGTTTTTTTTATTGGATGAAAATGGAATGGTAACCCCGCCCGCGCTAACGGGATACGCTGGCGGGGCACCAGTGAAGGGTGATCGATGAGGATAAAAACAGGCCAGTTAGCCCATCATGATGAATTCATCTGAAATTAATCATGATAGATTCCATGGGGAACCGCGAGGAGGTGGACCTGGTTGAGTATATTGCTAGCAATGGGATTCTCAGTCTCCATTACTAACAATCCCTTTCCCCCCTGGCTGTAGTAGTTAGCTATAGTAATGTATATAGTAGTAGTGAGTTAGTAATGAGGGCTGTTAGAAACCCCATTCCTAGTAGCCCTATAAGATACCCTATAAGGTTCCTCCACGCGGTTTCCCCTGGTTTACAAACCTGGTTAATTTTCGTTGTATTTTATCCCAGCATTGTTAGATCGGATATTTTTTCGCAATTTTGGGTGAAAACTTTTCTGTTTGCGAAAATTACTTGAAAAAAATTGGATGAATTTTTGGCAGTTTTGGTACTTATAGTCGTAAATCGCATAGCGGTATATCAAACATTTAAATGAATGTAGCAAAAGAGGTCAAGACGAGGAATATAACCTGCCCCACTGACAGCACTATAGGGTATATTGCCAGGTCGACCTCAATGTGTTCCCCTGGAACTCACTGTGGTGAATGTTTACTAAATTCTACACAATAGGCCAACTGACCTGACTCCATCCTCCTCATTTAATTTTTTTTATACAACTTAGAATGACAAACAAGCTGACGGCCCACCTGATGGACAGTGGTAACCGTCGCCTATAGACATGAGCAGTACCATGGACATAACAGAGTATACTGTTTCGCCCATGATATCCCCCATGCATTGCCATTCCTGAGGACTCAGGTGTTATTCCTCTGTACCCAGTAAATTCACGCCATATCCCGCCCTTCAAACCGAAACACAGCCATGCAAACACAGCTGCTTCACGGTTGAAACACGAATAGGACAGAGGTACCCAAGCAATCGACTTTTGTACAAAGTCTCCCTCTGGTAAAATAATAATGATAATAATAATCTGGCAATTAAACTAATTTTATTACTTTTGAGTTGGTTGACATTTTTCCGTCGTCTCTTTCAGGGTGATTACCACTTTCACAATATGACTATTCCATTAGAACAGGTTCCGAGAGGATTCCCGTTCACAAAAGGACGCATTTATGCCAACGCTACCATTACTGGAACAGACAAAGTTGTTGGAAGTGCATATATAGATTTGGAGTTGAAAACGGCGTGGGTGGAAGATGCTGGTTAGAAGAATTTATGTATTTAGTAAGATTATTATCAAGAATGTCCTGGTAATATGAATAAAGAGAAATCAAATCAAACCGTGTAATCAATAAGTCTAATGATGTCCGAGATTTTTTTTTTATACAATTTAGAATGGCAAACAAGCTGACGACCCACCTGATGGAAAGTGGTAACCATCGCCTATAGACATGAGCAGTACAATGGACATAACAGAGTACATTGTTTCATCCATGATATCCCCCATGTGTTGCCATTCCTGAGGACTCAGGTGTTATTCCTCTGTACCCAGTAAATTCACGCCATATCCCACCCTTGAAACCGAAACACAGCCATGCAAACACAACTGCTTCACGGTTGAAACACGAATAGGACAGAGGTACCCAAGCAATCGACTTTTGTACAAAGTCTCCCTCTGGTAGATACCCAAGCAATCGAAAAGATTGTTCGAACCTGGTTGAATTTATTGCTAGAAATGTGTTCCCCCCTCCAATGCCGTGTGGTCCGAACAGGCCACATTTTCTTTACCTTCCTGCAAGAGGCGACTAAGGGAACTTAATGGTTTTTTTTTGATGGGTGAAAATGGTATGGCAACCCCTCCTGCGCTAACGGGATACGCTGGCGGAGCACCAGTGAAGGGTGATAGATGAGAATGAAAACAGGTCAATTAGCCCATCATGATTAATTCATCAGGAATTAACCATGATAGTTTCCAGGGAGAACCGCGAGGAGGTCGACCTGGTTGGGTATATTGCTAGCAATAGGATTCTCAGTCTCCATTACTAACAATCCCTTTCCCCCCAAAGGAACTTAAAGGTTGAGTAATGGCCAGCAACGTCTCTCTTAAAACATTGTCATCAAAAGCCTAACAATGGGGGGGGGGGGGAAGAAATTGTTAGTAATACGGACTAACAATATACCCTGTCAGGTCGACCTACACGTAGTCCCCCTATGGAAACCATCGTGCTGAATTCCAAGTGTATTCATCGCTGTGAGCTAGCTGACTTGCTTTTTCATTCTCGCCTATCAACCTATCACTGGTGCTCTGCCAGCGTATACATTCCATTATCATCGATTAAAAATAAACCTAACTGTAATTGTTGATCCACCTGCCAAGGGTGGCAACTATGGGAAAAACCCCCTCCTTATGGGGAGGTCTTTATTCAGCAGTGGATAGTTAATGGCCGACATGATGATGATGAATGGGATTGCTAGTCAATTTTATTAATAGTACATTCTTTCTTATTAGTTTTGCGAATATTTAAAGCAGTTTTTAGAGTTTCGAAACCAAAATGGTGCAAAAGAATCCGAAATAAAAGAATAGCGTGAATTTATTTATTTATTTATTACATCCACTGGGTGAGCCTTACAGTCTTCCAATACGCTCATCTAGGAAAGCATGAGTACAATAACATATAAAAAGGAATATTACACAAAAACATTAAATAAAAAATAATACAAAAATACTCAACTGAAACAAAAAACGTCTGAACACAAATACTCTGTGGTCACTCGACGAAACTCCAGCAAGTTGGAGGCAAATACATCCAATTGCGGATACTGGCTCAAAATATCATCGAGTAGTTTCAATGCAAGAGATAGGGGAGGGATAGCCCGTACGTCTGTCACAGCGCTTTTTTTTTTATCAAATTATAACAGAATGGTAACCCCGCCTGCGCTATCGGTATACGCTGGCGGGGCACCAGTGAGAGACGATAGGTGAGAACGAAAGCAGACTAACTGGCCTGAAGTATTCCAACAATTATAATAATCCAGTGATTACTACGAATCATATTGAACGATGCGAGCACTGACAGTATCGACTGTGGTAAGTAAAAACTATTTTTTTTTATACAACTTAGAATGGCAAACAAGCTGACGGCCCACCTGATGGAAAGTGCTAACCGTCGCCTATAGACATGAGCAGTACCATGGACATAACAGAGTATACTGTTTCGCCAATGTTATTGGCGTTTCCACTCCCGGACTGGACTCTACTGCCAGGATTCAGGTGTTATTCCTCTGTGCCCTGTAAGTTCACTCTCATATCCCACCCTACAAACTGAAACACAGTCATGCAAACCCAACTGCTTGACGGTTGAAACATGAATGGGTGCCCAAGCAAACGACTTTTGTATAAAGTCTCTCACGGGTAAAGATTCAATTCAAATTAATTCACAAGTATAATAGAAGCATTGATATATTTTTCTAAAACAAATTATTATAACTTTGTAAAAAACTGGTGAATAAAATGTTAGGAAAAATATAATTACGAATATGTAGCATTTCACGGTACATTGATACAGTCTGCGCATATAATGAGGTAAAATATGTACAAGTACAATAATAGTATTAAGTAAATTAAAGCTATTGTATTATGACTTTGTGATAAAAATCATAAAAAAGTTAATAACAGAATTTGTATATTTATAAATAATGTGGCAGTATGTAATAAAAATAAATAACTTGAAAATATTTTCTTTTATACAACTTAGAATGGCAAACAAGCTGACGGCCCACCTGATGGTAAGTGGTAACCGTCGCCTATAGACATGAGCAGTACCATGGACATAACAGAGTATACTGTTTCGCCCATGATACCCCCCATGCGTTGCCATTCCTAAGGACTCAGATGTTATTTCTCTGTATCCAGTAAATTCACGCCATATCCCACCCTTTAAACCGAAACACAGCCATGCAAACACAACTGCTTCACGGTTGAAACACGAATGGGACAGACGGACCCAAGCAATCGACTTTTGTACAAAGTCTCCCTCTGGTGATATAAATGTTAATATTGACCTTTTCCACTACCGCACAGAATAAGTAGCTATAAGGTATTTCATTGCTAAAGTAAGCATTAATTGTATTACTATTAGATATTAATTGAACTAACTTTGTCCTGTCCAAAAACCCACAAGATCAAGTACCGAGCTGATACGATAACGTACTATTTTTATTAATGTGACGCACAAAAATTTTACCGATTTTAGTCCAAGCAAACCTCCAACCACATCGCTTAGCGATATTGTGGACCTGATGAAACACATAACGGTTAATTCTAGTAAGTCTCTCATTTACATGAAATTTACGAGATGGGCCAGGAAGGCCAGCGTCTCTGGCGTATACGGGTTTCGTGAAGGAACTGATCACGCAGAGTACGCCTTGCCAACCGAACCATTTCTATCAATAAAATCAACCCAGATCGAACAATCTCCAGCATCAACAGGCTTATTTGATTTCTGTTTATTCCTATTACCAGGATATTTTTGATAATACTTCAAGAAAAGAGCATATTCCTTTTTAAAAGGCCGGCAGCACACCTGCAATGCCGTTAGTGTTGTGGGTGATCATGGGCGGCGGTAGTCACTTATTACCAGGTGAGCCGCATGTTCGTTTGCCCCCTGTGTTGTAAAAAAAAAGTAGCCTTAGTTGTCTACGCTGATGAATGGGGAGCCAGTTAAGCTGCGACCGATAATGGAAGATGTGATCATATTTACGGAGACAGAAGATGAATCGAATAACATTGTAGATTAGTCGGTCTAGCTTGTTTAGATCTTCATTGAGATCTGGATAACGCACATCAGCATAATCAATAATGGAGAGAACGAGAGATTGGATTAACATAACCTTAGTTTTAATAGGAAGAACATTTCTGAACGGATTAAGAAATCGTAATGAGGACAGAACGACGCGACTTACTTCAGTTATTTGTGGTGTCCAACTGAGTTTTGCGTCAAGAAGAAAACTGAATAATAATAATAGTATTAATTATTATTATTTTAATTTTTACAAAATTCACATCTTCTCTCTTAAGGAGAGGAGATGGCAAACTAACCCTCGGCAGAAGCACAGTCGGCCGGGGTTTAGGGCCCCAGGGAGAGAAACCGGCGTACAATGCGGGTAGAATCTAAGAGCACCGCTTTCTGCACCATTCCCGGGAGTGAGCCGCCTTGGAATCCCAACCGTCTGAGATGTTGTTTCAGGCTGGTTGAGATAAGGCCGTTCACCGATAATGTTTAGAAATTTGGCCTGTCTATCTATCTGTATTTCCGGCATCACGTAAAATTAGATGCACTAAATTAGATGCGGTTTTCACTGACATGCTCCTTAAGCGCAAACTTAGAACCTGGTATATGTTTTATCTAGAAGAAGTCTATTTCATTGTTTTCGTAATTCTGAAACACATATAACACTAATACATAATAATGCTCCTTCTTTTCCCGTGGGTGTCGTAAGAGGCGACTAAGCAGCGTCCCTCTTAAAATATCACCAAAAGCCAAACTATGGCTGCCAACTCGACTGTCGAGCGTGGCAACTACAAAACTCCCCTTATGGGGAAGGCTAAGTCCAGCAGTGGACAGTTAATGACTGATGCAACAATGACACTGATAGAAATATGGAGTGTTATTATGCACAAAACAAATACAGGAAACATTAATATAATATTGTTTCCGGTAAGTTTGCACTCGCCTAATGTATGTTATACCTATTAAATTATCCTTCTCACATATATAAAATAAATCACTATATAGTATAAAACAAAGTAGTCCCGCTGTCTGTCTGTCTCTATTGTTATGCTTCTTTCTCCCCTCTCTGCTCTTTGCTATATGTTTTCTTGGCCTAGATGCATTAAAGGACTTAAAGTTGTGATTTAAAGTAACCAAAATCAGAAACAATAAATTCACATAAGTAAAAGCAACTTTAAAACAAAATTGAAATAAATTATACAAAATAAGTGGTATTATATGTTATCAACACTTCAGCTTTATTAACTTTAAAACTTTTACAACTAATTATATCTGAACATGAGAGTTATATTAGGTATAAAAAGATTGATGAATGTGGAAGAAGCGAAAGAGGTTTGTTTGAATCGAAGCATTTGGCGTTCCATTGTTTCTGCCTACCATAATGGAAGACAGGCGTAACAGATATGTATGTATGTATGTATACAACATTCGACTGTAGTATATTTAGTATTAGCATTGTACCCATGTGTAGCCGGGG